ATAACGTTATTAGACAGATTCAACTTGGGTTTAGGAAAGGAAAATCTTGTTCAACAAATATTTTTATAGTTTCTTGAGGATGTAAATAGCAGGTTAGATGGGGGAACCAGATGTGGTGTATTTGAGATTTCCAGAAACACTTTACAAGGTGCCGCATAAAAGCCTGGTGCACAAGATTAGAGCCCATGGAATTCAACGTATTATATTAAAGTGATTGGAAATTGGCTCACAGTAAGAAAACGGAGAGTAGGGTAAACTTGTCCACCTCAGATTGGCAGGATGTGACTAGTGGAGCGCCACAAGGATCAGCGCTTGGGCCTCAAATATTTAATAATAATAATAATCCTTGCATTTGATATAGCGCTTTACACGTCTTCCAGACATCTCAAAGCGCTTCACAGAATAGGCTGTGAAGTGAATTGACTGTATATTTGGGAGCGAAATGCGGGCCAATTGCGCACAGCAGGTAGATTGAAATGAATAACTTATATTTTTTGAGGGATTATTATCAGGCGTGTGGAGGAAGGAACCTTGCCCAAGGTTTTGTCCTTCCGGGCGTCAAACCTGGGTCTTTCGCTTGCAAAGCGAGTGTTCGAAACATTGAGCTACATGCCTCCACCATATCGATGATTTAGATGAGGAAATAGAACTTAACATGTCTAAATTTGTTGACGATACGAAGATTGGTGGGAGAGTAAGCTGTGAGGATGACACACAAAGAATGCAAAGGGAAATAGATAGCCTAGGTGAGTGGGCAAGAAGGTGGCAGATGGAGTATAAGAGAAGTGTGAAGTTATTCATCTAGGTAGTGAGAACAGAAAAGCGGACTATTTTCTAGAGGTGGAGATGAGGTAGTGTAAGTGTACGCACCTTTAAAGGCATCCATGGCCTTGCGCCCTCCTACGTCTCTCACCTTCTGACTCCCAAACAACCTGTTCGCTCCCTCCGTTCATCGGGCTCCGCCTGCTCCATGTCTCCAGCTCGACCCGTCCTACCATCTTTGGTAGGGCTTTCAGACTCTCTGCCCCCATACTCTGGAACTCCAAACCACAGTCCTTTCGCCTCGCTTCCTCCCTTGCTTCCTTCAATGCCTGGCTCAAGACCCTTCTCTCCGATAGTGCCTTTGGTCTCCCTCCCACTTCTCTGCCTTCCCTCAACTCTACACCATCCCTCCCCCATGCTCGGGCTCCGAAAACTAACCGTTCAGCGCTTTTGGACTTCCTCCCGACGTGAAAGGCGCTCTATAAATGTTGTTCTTCTTGTTTTTGTTGTTGTTGTATTTCTTAATTTCACTCAATCAACTGTTTTCAATCCACGAATGTTTGCAGGACACTGCTGTGCTCAACTGCGTGTCGCATTTCGAGAAGTTTTGGTCACACTGTATTAGGTATATGTAAATGTAAATATTTTATCACGCATTTTGGTCTTCGAAATAAAACATTAATATAGTTTAACTCGCGATAGAATGGGAAATTATCTTGGCTGCGTTGACAGCATTCTTGTTCTGAGTCAGAGGAAGTTTGCTGATGCCCCACATAATGAGTTTTAACTCACCCTCTAAATTGAGGAGGAATGGTGTGTAAGTTTGTATTTGTGATGATTCTTTTGAAGGTTTTACAATTAGTATAATTTTAAATTATAAACAACCACTTTTAATCGGTTTAGTATAACGTTCCTTATTTATTAGGGCATACATATCTGTGTCTGTGTGTTTAATGACCAAGTTAGGCCCGCAGAGAGGGTACATGTGTCAATTAGCCTTTTGAAAAGTTAAACATATACCGTGTTGACCGCGATTTAGCTCAGGCACTGGTAATTTTCCTTCAATCGATGTCTGGGTTCTATGTCATGTTCCCATCTAAGAACTGGGTTACAATTTTCTTTATTATAGATGTGAAAACAAACGGGGCTCAACTGCTTATCTCAAGACAAAGAAAGAGGAAGATGGCAGAATCCTGCCAAGTAGCTGACCAAATCTCATTATCCTCATCAGTGTTGGTAATGAATTAAATACACGCAATATTTATTTTGTATCTCAGTTACAGCATATTAATTTATTCATGTGAAACACGTTTTAAGATATGCCTGGATGTATCCAAGGTTTCATAATTTAAAAAAAAGATAATGGTGCAACAGTAATATATGGACAAAATACTGAGATCGAGGGGATTAACTTGACACTTTGAGCATTATATCAGAACAATGTGAGGGGAAAATTGGATGGCGGGCATTATTGCTTAAAAAGTTGAGTTTAAACTCACTAGTCCTCAAAGAGGCAGTGTAGAGGAGCACAACCAGCATGATCCACACAAAAAGAAGATAAGTACAACGAATGGACTCGCTTGGACCCTTCAGTTTTCAGAATATATGATTCAAGAGGGATCAATCGAGATGCCTGAAAATTATAAGGAATTGTAAAATTAAAGCTGGATAATTATTTTAGGTTGAAAGCGGAAGCAGTGGGCATAGAATTGAAGTTCCTAAGGGAAATTTGAGCACAAATACTGCTTGATGCAGTGATGGGGGCGGTATGAGAGGTTTTCAGGAGGGACAATATCGCATGGTCGAAGGGTCTTCTCCGTCCAATCCCATCCTGTGGTCACAGAAACAAACGCTGATATGTTCCGACCTGCTTCATTATGCGAAGAATCACTTGAGAAATTCAAATTGCTTTACATGTGACAAGCTCGAGAATGGAGTCTCCCAGGGCTCCAGTGTTCTTGCCAGTATTTAGCTTCCTTTCATACAGAGGGTCCCCGTGACTAATTTATCTGATATGTATATCGGATGTGGCTTTGATGACTTACTTGCTTCAAATACATTACCTACTTACTGTGCACCATAGAATGACCCGATAAACCAAGTGGGAGAGAAACCAGATCTCACTTTATAGTGCAGCAACAGGGACTTCAAGAAAATAGTGACACATATTGAGGGTACACACATATCCATGAATAAACGTATACATTAATATAATTTATTGAAGCTAATCCTACACATTTAATAGTTATTAATTAATGTATATCAATCAATGCCGCCATCTTTAAAGGAAAACTTTTTCCTGAAAATGTAATATCAAACAATGTATTGATAAAGGTTGTAAGGTAATAATAATAATAATAATAATAATAATAATGCTTGCATTTGATATAGCATTTTCATGTCGGGAGGACGTCCCAAAGCGCTTCACAGAACACACTGTAAATTGAGTTGACTGTATATATTTGTGGGCAAACCTCATAGCAATAGTGCACCTCATGCATATTGCTGACGTGTCTGAAGTTGATTGTTCCACCATCCGTAACCAATGTGATGATCTCATCTCATAACAATCTCTATGGAGTTTTATGCTATAAACATGTGACTTTACTGTTTAAATGTAACAGAATTGACGCTGTATTTTTACTTCATAGCACAGATTATCGTTGCCCGGAAAGATGCAGGGAAGGGCCAAACTGCTGAAGATACAACTCATTTATTATCCTCTTCTTGCAGCTATTGGAATTCCTGGTGAGTGGCTACATACTGCTTCTTGATATGTGCAGCTCATCATGTCACTGCCCAGTACTCATCTCACTGTTAGATATCAGGTAGTGTAAAATGTATTAGTTTGTTTGCATTTGCAGCGCAATATGATTTGCGTTTTCACAGGAATCACAATGTTATTGGGGCATTAACATCGATAGCTCAACTGTCAATTACTTTCAATGCAATTGTAACTGAGAATATCGCTTTACATGTTCCCACGTCTAGTCACGACTTCCTACCGATGTTCTGATTGCTTCCTTATCTGACATTCATGCCCTGATGAGCGTCAACTTTGTGCAGCTGAGCATTGACAACAAAGAAACAATCATCTTCGTGTCCCATCAGTGTTTTCTCAACCTCTTAACTTCCCTGTCGTATTCCTCAGACCCATCTATCCTGTAAGCAATCTTAGCGTCACTATCAATGCCCATTGATACTTCCTACCCAACATGCGGTCTCTCACCCCGATTTTATTTCTCCACCATCAACACATTTTCTGCCTTCCCCTCTATCTTAATTTAAACGCTGCTAAAATTCGTATTCATACTTTCATCACCTCCTGTCTTGTTTACTCCAATGCACTCCAACGCCATCACCCCAACTCCACTTTTAAGATTATCCAATTTATTGAAAACGCTGGTATCCATGTCATTACCCACAGCAACCTCCAGAACGCACCTACCCCGTTCTTGTGCCCCACCAATCTGCCTTAGCTCCCTGATATTTCATGTGCCGCAAAGGTATTCTGGGTTTATATAAACTCTCCAGCAATGCTGCTGTATTTGTTTAAATTCCACTGCAACCCATCAAGAGTTTCTCTTGCAGTGAATTTACTGGCGATTGGGATCCTGTCCCGAGGAAAGTGCGGATTGTCCAAGTGTATCACCCGCTACCTGGTGGCCATGGCAGCGGCGGATCTGTCAGTCATTGTCTCCGAAGTAATCCTGAAACAAATTGGTGAGATATATTTACATACCACATTTTTGTTCTACACTCCTGTCTGCAGCTTCATTCATGTCATTTCTGCTGCCGCCGTGGACTCTGCTGTGTGGCTAACTGTGGCTTTCACGTTTGATCGCTTTGTGGCCATTTGTTATCAGAGACTGAAACAAAAATACTGCACTGAGAGAACAGCGTCTGTGGTGATAGGAACTTTAATTGCGTTACTCTGCTTGGAAAATATTCCCTTATATTTTACATTCCACCGTTACGGTAAAATTGATAACATGCCCTGGGGCTGCTTTGTCAAAGCAAAGATTCGCTATCAGCCCGCGTGGATCGCATTTTATTGGTTTGAACAGATTTTGGTCCCTTTGCTCCCATTCGTGTTGATTTTGCTGCTCAACGCTCTGACCGTCAGATACATTCTTGTGGCGAGTCGAGTCCGCACCAAACTGCGGGTCTGCACCAGCAGCGCTGATCATCGCAATGATCCGCAAATGGCGAACAGAAAGAAATCCATCATTTTACTGTTCAGTGTATCACTTAGCTTTATATTGTTGTGGATGACATCTATTGCACATTATATACAATACAGAGTTAAAGAGCTTTACAGGTCGAGAGGTCTCTATAACCCGTTGGCAATGTTTGAAGAAGCAGGTTTTATGCTTCAGCTGCTGAGTTCCTGCACAAACACAGCCATCTATGCGGTCACTCAGACCAAATTCAGAGAGGAGCTGAAGAATGCAATTAAATATCCTTTCACAATCAATAGTAAATATTCTAAAAAGTGAAATAGAAGAAGACAAACTGGAGCAAACGTTAAACCAGAAAATACATACTGTTCACCCGTATATTTATAACTGTGTCTGTTACAATATTTATCCGCTAAATCGACATTTATAACAATAATGTTTGTGCCATATTATACTGTCCCTCTTTAGTTATGGTAAAGGTTTCCTCGCCTCCCTTCCTGTTTGGTCGCCGTGTGATCAGCGATGATCACTGTTCAGTTTATTGTTTTAGCTAAGTTAGGTGTGCCTTTGCTAGTTAGCGTTTCTTGACTTAACCAAGCAGAAAGGTAATCGTAGTTAAACTAACCTGAACTCAAAACATAGTTTGCATAACTCCAGATAAAATATTATTAACAAATATCGGTATAATGAAGGGATAAATTGTCAAAGCGAGAAGAAATGAACTTGTTAGTGGAGCTTCATTTTGTTGTGATGTTTGCTGATGATCTGGTCCTATATTGTGTAAATCTTTATTCTTTACTGCAATGCTGCTGCCATTACCACGTTTATTGACTCATTGTGAAATTATGTGTTTTTTCCTCTCGTAAAAGAATAGATTATAAGGCATGAAATAAAAGTGACTGCAGTGATTCTGATTTCGTGTTCCGAGTTTTTGTTTTAACTGACCAGAATTAGACCGTCTTTGGTCTCAGCACCTTTTATCTCAGGTTTCCACAGCGAGGTTAGTTCCACCTCTGGCCGCTCACCAGGTCCCGACTTTACGCGCAGAATGCACAGACCTACAGCAGGTCCCCGACATTTTACTTCGCCATTGGTTGTCGTTGCCATGTGCTACTGGCTCCCAAACTTTAGTCATTGAATGTTTCAATCTCCAAGCCTCGTCTTCTCTTTAAATATCTTGAAGTTTCGCCTTAAAATCTTCGACTGTCGTTCTCCTCTCCTTCCAGTCACGATAGCAACCCCAGAAGCTGTCCTGTGGAAAGGCGCTCCAATATTTCAAGTTATTTTTCATGTTGTACTTTCATTCAGAATATCGTGTTGGAGAAAAGCAAATGTTCATACAGCGCTATGGATTTCCATGGGAACAAGCGTATGTATAAAATGCTTTTCATCATCTCTGGCATTTGTGCAAGAAAATCAAACAGATAAGCTCATTATTGTATGACACAAAATATATTCACAAAAGGGTTGATACTCGTATTGCCAAACACATGATTGCGGTTTCCCAGCGAGTTCTCGTGTTCATCTCAGATCAGTGAAACTCACTTCACGGGTATCTAAGTTTCTGCGGATTGCGTCATCGTCCTGAGTTGGTGTCGCTTTGCTCTTTTTATTCACTTGATCGGAAAGGAGATCACATGCATGGCGTGGGTTTGTCTAGAAACTCAACTTAGTGAAACAGATAAAAATCATGAACATATACCTCCGCTTTGTACACAGATACAATTATCTGCAGAGTGAGCAGAGAAAAATAAAAACTGTTGCTCAGTTCACGCAGTGTTCGCATTCACTATGACAATTTTCGAGTACATACTGTTGGGATTTACGAACCCGTAGTTCGGAATATGACTCGACAATCCAAATACAGTGCAGCAGAGTTTATTATGTACAGAGTGAACACAACAAGTTACTACAAATGTGTAATAAATTATACTACCAGTCTTTGAAGACAGTCACGGAACATCATGGAACACCTGCCCTGTGAACTTAAGGGGCCTCTCCACACTGGTCTCTCTGTCTCTCTCTCTCTCTGGAGCCATCCTGTTCTTCTAACTGTTCTCACCTGGAGTGCCATAGTTATACCCTTTCTCCAAGTGTCCTTCCTTGGGCCCCTCTACCCACTTCTGATACAGTCGTGTATTTAGGTTAATCAACCATTTGGCTTGGTGCCAACCTGACTGAGTCTCCACGAGGTCTTCTTTTTGTCCTGTCTAAGATAGGAAATTGATCTGTTTGGGGCTGTATCTTGTGATTGTTATTTTGTCATGGGGGATCATGAGTATATTCCTTTTAAGCATCTCTATCCCGGGATGGTACCAAAGACCTCTAGTTTAAACAGCTTGCTCATTAGTTGCTATTCTTGAGGATTGCCTTTTGGCGCTTGGTCCCATCAGAATCTCGCGACTTATTGCTCAGTCGAGATCCTGTGTTGACCGGTGCCGGGGACCGTTAGCTCTGTGGCAGTGCTGTCATTTACTGATAAGAGGGGATAACAGTTTTCCAAAGCTGTTTTGTTATTCTTTCAAAACCAGAGAAAACCAGATGTATCCTATCCTATGACTGTCGGTACCTTCTGCATTCTACGTTTGTTTAATGTTCATTATTATTAGACTACAACTTCTACAATCTAATATCTGGAAGAAGGGACAGCAGTGTTTGACATCACAACACAGTGCAGAAGGAGAAACACAAAATGGTTTTCACCCTAATCTTTGACAGTATTGGGGGTAAAGCCGGGGATTAGATTTGTCTGAAGCCTTTTACCATATTTCCATTGTGATCCATCAGAAACTAAGCACAAGTGGTCAACATGCCAAACAGCATCGGATCTGCGATCTTTAACCACAAAGCGTGTATGAGCCATTTGACTGGTCTGGGCGTCACACAGCATCTGATCACAAAAAAATCTGAAATAATAAAGTGCAGACCTGACAGATTCCCGGCTGCCTGCTGCTCTTCCAGGAAATATGGTAAACCATCAACACTCATTTCTTGATAAATTGTTTGCATCACTATCCCTTCTTCTGTGAGAAGGTTTTTACTCATTAAAAAATCATTGAGTGACGATCTACAATGAAGAAAAAATTGTTTTAACATCCAAATTTTCGCTCATCATTTCATTTCATCAATTAAAAAAACAGGTTTCTTTACAACGGGAAACAGCCCATCCTTTAGTTGGATTGAAAAGAGTCCTTCAAAGAAGAATTTCAGGTGGTGATTGTGATTATGTCATGGATGTGTAGTGACTGTGTGTGCCAAGGAGCTGTCATTACTTTGTGGGCGTGACAGGGATATACAGTGACTTTGTGTGAGTGGGACATGTAGTAATTATTTGTGTGTGTGAAATGGAGGGTATAGTGACTGTGTGCGTGACAAGGCGGGTTAGCGACTGTGCGTGAATTGGGGGTGTGTTGACTGTGTGTGACAAGGCGTTATAGTGACTGTGTGATTGATAGGGATGTGCAGCGACACTTTGTGAGTTTGCGACAGAGAGGTGTAGTGACTGTGTGTGATATGGAGGTGTAATGACTGTGAGTGAAACAAGGAGGTGTCGTGAATGTGTCTGTGACAGGGAGTTGTACTGACTGTGTTTGTGAGTGGGATTTGTAGTGACTGAGTGTGTGTGATAGAGTGACTGTGTGTATGACATGGAGGTGTAGTGAATGTGTGTGAGACAGGGAGGTGAGTGATTGTGTCTTTGACAGGGAGTTGTAGTGACTGTGTGTAACAGGGAGTTGTAGTGACTGTGTTTGTGAGTGGGAGGTGCACAGACTGTGTGTGGCACAATGGTATGTAGTGATGGTGTGTTTGATAGGGAAGTATAGTGACTATATTTGTGTGACAGGGAAGCGCAGTGAGTGTGTGTGTGACAGGTTGGTGTATTGACTGTGTGTGAGAGGGAGCTATGGTGAATCTGTGTGCGTGACAGGCAGGTGCAGTGACTATGTGTCTGACAGGAGGTGTAGTGATTCTGTGTGTGACAGAGAGGTGTCATGACAGTAAGTCGCTCCTCCTCATAATGTGCGATTTCAATCTCCATCTAAACACTCGTTGCACCAAATCTTCTGAGTTCACTGCCCTCCTCTCCTCCCGAAACCTCACCGTTCACATTAATGGCCTCCCCAATCTTCACATTCAATGCCAAGTGAGAGGATGTCATGGACCTCTTTACATCCAAAATACATAACACCCGCCAGGCAGCCTCATCCTCCTGCCTGTTCTCCCCCACACAATCCCCTCTCGCTCCCCCTCCTCTTCCTCACCATCAACTCCTACCACGACCCCCACCCTAATCTCCTTCCTCCCCTTCTCTCCCTCCTCGCTTTCACTCACCATCACCTCAAAATAATCACCGCCTTCTGCCTCGACCCCCTCCACACCAACTTGCTTTGCACACAACTCCCCGTCCTCTGCCCACAACCGGTTGGTGTCATCAACCAGTCCCTTTTCTCTGGATTAGGCACTGTCCCCCGCAAAACTGCTGACATCAATCCCCTCCTCAAAAACCCTCCATAGATCCCTCAAACTCCAGCCATTACCGTCCTATTTCTAACCTGACCTTCCTCTCAATAGTTATAGAAGCTATGTGGTTTTACCTCATCTCCCACTCTATTTTCGAACCCCTCCAGTCCGGTTTCCGCTCAAACTTCAGAGACTGCGCTTGCGAAAGTCACAAACGACATCCTATCTATCTGTGACCAGGGTTCCCTCTGCCTCCATGTCCTGCTGGACCTCTCCGTCGCTTTCAACAAAGTCGATCACGCCATCCTCCTCCACCGCCTTTCATCGGTCATCTACCTCAATGGGACCACACTCGCCTGGTGCCAGTCCTACCTCACAAACCGCCAGCAGTACATCTGCACAAACGGTGTCTCCTCACGATCTCAATCGGTTACATGCGGGGTACCTCAAGTTTGCATCCTTGGCCCCCTCCTCTTTCTGATCTACATGCTCCCTCTTGGTGATGTCATCCGCAGAAATGGGGTACAATGCCACATGTATGCAGGTGACACCCAACTCTACTTTTCCACCTCGCTTTGCGACCCCTAGTCCCGTGATATTGTGTGAGAGTGGGAGAGAGAATGTGTGTGTGTGTGTGAGAGAGTGAGAGAGAGACTGTGTGTGTGAGAGAGAGAGACTGTGTGTGTAAGAGAGAGACACTGTGGGTTTGTGTGAGAGAGAGACTGTGTGTGAGAGAGAGAGACTGTTTGTGTGAGAGAGAGACTGTGTGTGAGAGAGAGTGATAGGGAGAATGTGTGTGTGTGAGAGAGAGTGAGAGAGAGAGAGAGAGAGAGACTGTGTGAGAGAGAGAGAGAGAGAGAGAGAACATTTGTGTGTGAGAGAGAGACTGTAATAATATATAATAATAATAATAATCCTTGCATTTGATATAGCGCTTTTCACGTCGGGAGGACGTCCCAAAGCGCTTCACAGAACACATTGTAAAGTGAATTGACTGTATATTTGTGGGCAAACGCGGCAGCCAATTGCGCACAGCAGTGTCCCACAAACAGTCGTAGATTGAAAATGACCAATTTATTATTGTTTTGGGTTTTGGAGGGATTATTATTAGGCGTGTGGAGTAAGGAAACTTGCCAAAGGTTTCGCCCTGTGCCTGTGTGTGTGAGAGAGACACTTTGTGTGTGTATGAGAGAGAGACTGTGTGTGAGAGAGAGACTGTGTGTGAGGGAGAGAGAGTGTGTGTGAGAGAGAGAGAGAGAGACTGTGTGTGTGGGGGAGAGAGACATTGTGTGTGTGAGAGTGAGAAAATGTGTGTGAGAGAGAGACTCTTTGTTTGTTTGGGAGAGACTGTGTGTGCTTGAGATACTGTGTGTAAGTGTGAGAGAGATTGTGTGTATATCTGTCAGAGATAGACTGTGTGTGTGAGAGAGCAAGAGAGAAAGAGAGAGAGAAAGAGAGGCAGTTTGTGAGTGAGATAGAAACTGTGTGTGTGTGAGAGAGAGTGAGAGAGAGAGAGAGACTGTGTGTGTGTGAGATTGAGAGACTCTGTGTATGAGAGAGAGAGAATGTGTGTGTGTGAGAGAGAGAGAGACTGTGTGAGGGAGATATAGACTGTGTATGTGTGTGAGAGAGAGACTGTGTTTGTGTGTGTGAGAGAGAGACTGTGTGTGTGAGAGAGTGGGAGAGAGAACGTGTGTGTGTGAGAGGGAGTGACAGAGAGACTGTGTGTGTGTGAGAGAGAGATAGACTGTGTGTATCTGTGTGTGTGTGAGAGCGAGCGAGAGAGAGAGGGACAGTGTGTTAGTGAGACAGAAACTGTGCGTGTGAGAGAGAGATAGAGACTGTGTGTGTGTGTGTCTGTGAGAGTGAGAGAGAGATTGTGTGCCACTGTGTGAGAGAAACTGTGTGTGTGTGTCTGTGAGAGTGAGAGAGAGACAGTGTGTGTGAGAGATACAGACTCTGTGTGTGACAGAGAGAGAGACTGTGTGTGTGAGAGAGAGTGAGAGAGAGAATGTGTGTGTGTGTGAGAGTGAGAAAGAGACTGTGTGTATGTGAGAGAGACTGGGTTTGTGTGTGTGAGAGAGAGAGAGAAAATGTGTGAGAGAGACTCTTTGTTTGTGTGAGAGAGAGAGACTCTGTGTGTCTGTGTGAGATACTGTGTGTAAGTGTGAGAGAGAGACTGCATGTATGTGTTGGAGAGAGAGATAGACTATGTGTACCTGTGTGTGTGAGAGAGAGAGAGGGACAGTGTGTGAGTGAAACAGAAACTGTGTGTGTGAGAGAGAGAGAGAGACTGAGAGTATGTATGAGAGAGAGACTGTGTGTGTGAGAGAGAGACTGTGTGTGAGAGAGTGAGAGAGAGAGAGACTGTGAGTGTGAGAGAGCGACACTGTGTGTTTGTGTGAGAGAGTGACAGTGTGTGAGAGACAGAGACTGTGTGTGAGAGAGGGAGAGACTGTGTGTGGGAGAGAGACACTGTGTGTGTGAGAGAGTTTGAGAGTGAGAGAGACTGCGTGTGTGTGAGAAAGAGAGAGACCGTTTGTGTGTGAGAGAGAGGGACTGTGTGTGTGAGAGAGAGACACTGTATGTTTGTGTGAGAGAGTGACAGTGTGTGAGAGACAGAGACTGTGTGTGGAAGAGAGACACTGTGTGTTTGAGAGAGAGAGACTGTGTGTGCGTGAGAGTGAGAGACTCTGTGTATGAGAGAGAGGGACTGTGTGTGTGTGAGAGACAGAGAGACTGCCTGTGAGAGACAGAGACTGTGTAAGTGTGTGAGAGAGAGACTGTGTTTTTGTGTGTGAGAGAGAGAGACTGTGTGTGTGAGAGGGAGAGACTGTGTTTGGGAGAGAGACACTGTGTGTGAGAGAGAGAGAGACTGTATGTGTACACGAGAAAGAGAATGTGTGTGTGTGAGAGAGAGTGAGAGAGAGAGACTGTGTGTTTGTGTGAGAGAGTGACAGTGTGTGAGAGACAGAGACTGTGTGTGGAAGAGAGACACTGTGTATTTGAGAGAGAGAGACTGTGTGTGTGAGAGAGAGATAGACTGTGTGTATCTGTTTGTGTGTGGGAGCGAGCGAGAGAGAGAGAGAGTGTGTTAGTGAGACAGAAACTGTGCGTGTGAGAGAGAGATAGACTGTGTGTGTGTGTATGTGTCTCTGAGAGTGAGAGAGAGATTGTGTGCGTCTGTGTGAGAGAGACTGTGTGTGTGTGTGTCTGTGAGAGTGAGAGAGAGACTGTGTGTGTGAGAGATACAGACTCTGTGTGTGACAGAGAGAGACTGTGTGTGAGGGAGAGAGAGTGTGTGTGTGAGAGAGAGAGAGACTGTGTGTGAGAGAGATAGAGACTGTGAGTTAGAGACAGAGACTGTGTATGTGAATGAGAGAGAGACTGTGTTTGTGTGTGTGAGAGAGAGAAAATGTGTGTGAGAGAGAGACTCTTTGTTTGATTGAGAGAGACTGTGTGTGCTTGAGATACTGTGTGTAAGTGTGAGAGAGATTGTGTGTATGTGTGTGAGAGATAGACTGTGTGTGTGAGAGCAAGAGGGAAAGAGAGAGAGAAAGAGAGGCAGTTTGTGAGTGAGACAGAAACTGTGTGTGTCAGAGAGAG